TAATGTTTCACCCGACCCGACCCGACCCGAATATATGACTTAGAAACCCGACCCGACCCGACCCGACCCGAAATAATAAAAAAAAATTTAATTCAATGAAAACAGTGACTTAATTGAAAAAAATTATATATGGAGGGATATTATTGTAATTATCCCTAAATATATAAGATAAAATTATATATATTTTTCGGGTCGGGTCAGATTTTTTTACCTTAAACCCGACCCGACCCGAACAGTGCATTTAAAAAAAACCCGACCCGACCCGACCCCAAAATTTTTTTAAAAAAATCTGACCCGATCGGGTCGGGTCGGGTCGGAACCCATCGGATTCGGGTTGAGTTGCCATCCCTAATTAGGATGCCCCACTATTTCCAAACGTTGAGGACTAGGGCCTTCATCTGTTTCACTTGCCAGGAATTCTTTTGATGTAGACCGTATAACTTAGCCACAATTTGATCGACCAAGGACTCTTGGCTCTTTGTGATTGCATCCAAAGTACTTCGACTGCTCTGGTTTATCTTGTCTTTCGACTCTCTTTGCAGCTTCAACATGTTCTCCTCCATCTGAGCAATTCTAGCTTTCATCTTCTTCATTTTGAAACGGTGTTATTTGGATGGGGTATGTCCAATGCTTGAGGTTGTATGTTTATTGTTTGTTCCTTTTGAGGATACATTCTTCTGTTAGTTAATGCAAATGTAAAGAAACAAAATACAAATATATGTTTAAATGCATAATGCTTGCAATGTTCGAGGCATTGATCCAAAAATGTGCCTGTTATCATAAACAATCCTTATTAGGGACAAAAGTGTTACATCTGAAGAGACAAAAAACATTTTGATGGTATAGATCCCGAACAGCCTCTGACAAGTTGATCCGTCTTCCATATTTTTTCTGTCACCGGTTGAATATCGTGTCAAACCGTTCCGGTTCCTTTAGCTAAACTGTGCAAGTGACGAGCTGCTTGCCCCAAAAAAGTCTCGAAGGACTGCATCTCCGGTTTTCACTCTCTGTTGAGCATGTTCCTAACGAAAGCGTCATTGGAGTCCTCCCTCAATAAGAACTATCGGAAGCTTGCTTCTTGAATTTGTCTATAGTGGCATGTTGTCTTTGAAGGAGCTCTCCAGGTCAATAACCTTTTCTCGTCTTGCCCTTGTAACCTTTGCCAGCTCAAAAAGTTGACTTTTGGTGTGCATAGTGTGAATTTCAGTCCATTCTGAGTGTTCTCTGACCATAGTTGGACTTCTGAGTTTTTCATCTTTTGTATTATAACCCCTTTGTCCATTAATGCAAATTATTTATGTTTAACAAACACGTTTTCGGTGGATCAACACCTCTTTTAAATGAATGATGAAAAAGATGAAAATAAAATGAAAGAGAGAAAAAATGAAAAAAGTTAGTAAGGTAAAGATAATAATCAAAACAGTCATGAAAAAGTCATACCCCACATGATATCTACCCAAGCATGCTTAGTATTCCTACCCGGACAACATCTCTATCCCGCATGTTAATTTTGAACAAGTCCTAACCGCATATCTTTCTAGTTCGCATGCTTTGAACAGAAAGTAAAGCAGGAAATAACTCAAGATAGCCTAGGGTTTGGAATGAGGTTTTGGGGTGGGCTCTAACTCCTTGTAGTCTCCCAGTTTAGGTTCTAAAAAAAGTTACCCGAGTTCTCCTTGCTGGTGCCCGATTGGGCTTGTCAGACCCTTAGTCCTAAGCCCATTACAAGCTTATGTGGACTAAGTTAAACTCGAGCGGAAACATTCCCTTATGTCTGTGAGGTGAATAAATTCACACGAAGACATAAGGTATATAAATCCCGAAGGTTACTTGCTAGGTCTATGCGGAGAATAAATTCTCGCGAAGGCGTCGTTTTCGCCCCACTTAAAAGGGTTCGGAGCTCAGGTATAGAGCTTGAGATGAAAACTTTTTCAAAAATCTGAAATCATTGAGAAAAATGTCAGTACAACTATTTATTTAAAAAATAATCAAATATAAATAATTAGAATTGAATAAATAAATTAAAATTAAAATTTACTATTTTTAAATAAAAAGACAACCGAAAATTAATTATGGCCTGACTCACTTACCTATCCCCAGCACAGTCGCCAAAATGTCGCGGCCGTCTTTCTGTTGGGCCCAGAATTGGACTTCGACTTGAAATAATGGGTTAGAATCGCCACCGATCATTTTAAAAACATTTAGGTGGATCGGACACCATCTTACTTGGTCTACTTTTTACCAGAAATATGTCGGGTTCGGGAGTCGGTTATAGTCAAGGAATGATTAACACCCTTGTACTGCCCTTTTGGTACCAATTAATTATTCAGTTGTCTTAATTGCTAAAATTAAAATTTAAATCGAAATTTAAAAATTCAATTCAAACTAATTACCTTTGATCGATTGAAAATATACATAAAAAGTTAAAAATGTTAGATAAGAAATAATAAATAAATATTAAATAAATAATATTAAATGAATCAGAGGGAAAATATAAAAAAATGTTAAATTCTAAAACTAATAAAATAAAAATAATAAGAAGTAAAAAACATAAAATAAATAATAATAAAAAATGCTAAAATTTAAAAAATAAAACCAACTTTTTACACATACTATGATGGAGAATTTTATAACAATGTAAAGTCAACCCTTCAGAGAACCAAGCAGCGCTGCTGCGAGAAACAGTGAGCATCGAAGTCATCAAAGCCGAAGCAGTGGCAGAGTGATACGGCAGTATTGATTCCAAGCAGAAACACGCTTCAACTGGACACCTGAAAATATAGTTGGAGAGAGGAACCCTTGATGAGACACGGAACGACGATGGTACAACGCTGGATTGTGGAGCGAACCGACATAAACTTGAAAATCAATCCACTAATTATTAAATATTTCGAGTTATTCGTGTTGTATTTTACAACTCGATTTGAATTTCAAATTTTTTTAAGTCGAGTTTATGAAAATACAACTCGAAAGTCAATTTGTGTTTTTTCGGGTCAAGTCGAGTAAAAAATCAATTTTTTGAGTTGATATTTACTCACTCCTAGTTAATAAAATGTTAAACTATAGCAAATATGAATGTCAACTGTTGGTTCTGTCAAGAATGATGTCAAAAACTGAGGAGTATAACTTGGAAAAGTGATTCCAGCGAAAGATGGTTCTACTGAGAGTAGGGTGTCTCCGAGAACTTCTAGAGACTCTTCTTAGAGAGAAAAAATCTTCCAAAGATTTTTGTTAACGGAAATTTGATACTTTCTAGAGGATCTTCTCTAGACGTATAATAAACTTATTTAATCTATTCTTAGCTTTTTCGATAGATAGGTTTGATTCGTGTGAACGATATTGATTTATCTTTCAAAAAACACTAAACTTACTCTATCAACTTACTTTCCAATAAACATCTTGACACAGTCCTGATTGGTAGAGTAAAGCTCCACTTTTTCTGCCCAAACATCAGACAAATTTATGAAAGTTTCTTTCCGTAAACTATAACCAAAGCAAAGAAATAAGTCAAACAACTGTGGCAATTCAAATGATGCATAGACTATACAATATTTAGTACAACCCGTTGAAGCCATCAATAGAGCTCATTCAAGCCACCAAGCTTTATCTTGCCCAATCTAATAGGAAAAACTTCATCAACCTAACCTTATTACCAACCACATGACTATTGTGATACTGTTTTCGAGCGATATCAGATTGCTTAAATTTACTAGTTGAAACCGATGATAAGCCCTGTCAAACAAAATTAAGATAGTACTAGGATTGTTGCTTGAGATCGATTTGCTAGAGCTTCTTGCTCCATATTCGTCAGGTGACCAGTGACGAAAATGATGAACAACAATGGAGGTGTGCTACTACATAAGCTTAAGATAGGGTTTGTGAAGAAAACATATTAAGAAAAGGGGTAAATTGATATTTTATCCCTAAACTACTTTAGGTTTAGAAAAAGACTTAGATTAATATTTTATCTAAAGTCCAGGGGTTAAAATAAAAATTAAATCTTTTTACTAACGTAGCACATCATCAAACGACAACTTACATCTCAGTGACAAAATATTAATAAAACGATAACGTAAGTGACCAAAACTTATGTTTTATAAATTTAGTTGAGTAAGAGTATACAAATAGTAAACGAAAGTGATCAACCATTTAATTTACCTTTAATTATAATACAATTAATTTCGTACATCATTAATTTTATTATTTTCACTTATTTAATGTATTTTAAATATATTTCATTCATGATATTCAATAATGTCGTTGCATAGCGTATTTGATTTAAATTAAAAATATTATTTTATTAGAACAATAACGAGATAGTCTCCTAAATAATTGGAGTGAAATATTATAGTCTCCTAAATAATTGGAGTGAAATATTCGTTAATTGTTTTTGAAACAAAAGGACATTTTTTTTAAAAACATGTAAATTATATAATTTAATTCTGAAATGAAGCTAATTTTGTTTATTTCCAAATAAAATGCAATCTTTTATATTAACTTGCATGAATAAGGTTCGCAATTTAAATTTGGTTTGAACTTGTAATTACACTACTAAAACAACATAATCGACTCTCGAATCTATTTATTTTTATTCCCTAGTTTTTAAATGTGGACTTGATAAAATTATCTTTAGAAACAAGATTTTCAAGAATCTTTCTTTTCAAAAATAATTTTATAAGTATTCCACCACATCTAATCCAAAGAGTGACGATTTAGTTTTATTTTAAAATTTGAGTTTTTTTAAAAAATTCGAATATACATATTTTCAAACAAAAATCATCGAATTTAAAGACTATTATGAAAAAATATATTGGGTTCGGTTTAAGCCCAAAATTAAATAGGTTATTTTTATCGAGCTTTAAATTAGCACATTTATTAATCAAAGTCTATAGAAAACACACAAAAGTTGAAGGAGAGAAACCTTTGCTTAAACCCTTGAAACTGTTACCAAACTGCCAGAGCAAAAAGAAGCAACAACAGCGGCGGCGGCGGCGGGGACAATGGTGAAATCCTATCTAAGGTACGAGCAGGCGGCTTCCTTCGGTGTAATTGTATCTGTTGAATCGAATATCACATACGACAGCTCAGGCAAGCACCTTCTAGCTCCGGCTCTCGAGAAGATCGGTGTTTGGCACGTCCGTCAAGTCGTCTGCACCAAAACTCTGTCTCCTTCTGTTTCCTCTCGCGGCTCCTCTCTCTTCGTAAACTGTGTCGTCTCCTCCCCTTCTTCACTGGTAATTTTTTTTTCATTCTCCTTCCTTTATCATTAATTGTAATGGATGCTCCGTTTTATTTTGTAGCTTTGATTGAAGCAATACCTGAAAGTTTCGTTTAGATATAATATATATTCTTTTCTGAATAATAAACTTGCCCGATGTTGTTTTCCCATTGATAAATTAGGAACTTTTAAAAAATTGTGAACTGTAATAGTAACAACCAAATGGAGTCTTAAAGTGCTTCATGCATTCTTAGCGATTTTCATAAAAATTAGTATGAGCGAATGAAAATAAGGTTTAAATTGCAGGTGGCAAGTGGTTATGCTGATGGTAGTATAAGGATTTGGGATTGTGATAAAGGAAGTTGTGAGACTACATTGAATGGACATAAAGGGGCTGTGACTGCTTGAAGGTACAATAAGGTTGGATCTGTACTTGCTTCCGGAAGTAAAGACAATGATATTATTATATATTGGGATGTTGTTGGTGAGACGGGTCTTTTTCGCCTTCGTGGGCATCGTGATCAGGTTTGTCATTTGTAAATCTTTTTATTAAAGTTAAGAACTTATCGTGGTATTTGTTAACTGTATATGTTTTAATTTCTTTGCATTTTGCAACTTGCAGATCACGGACCTTGTTTTCCTTGATTCTGATAAAAAACTTGTTACTTCTTCCAAGGATAAATTTTTGCGAGTGTGGGATCTTGAAACTCAGCATTGTATGCAAATAGTTAGCGGCCATCATAGTGAAATTTGGTCTATTGATGTTGACCCGGATGAAAGATACTTGGTCACTGGTTCAGCAGATCTTGAACTCAGATTATTTTACAATGTAAAGCATGAGTTGATGAGTGGAGAGTCTATGGTGAATGTAACTGCGGCTAAAACTGGGAATGACCGTGAGTTATCTACTCAAAATAAGTGGGAAGTTCTGAAGCCCTTTGGTGAAATTACGCGACAAAGTAAGGATAGGGTTGCGACTGTGAGGTTTAGCAAGTCGGGAAATCTGCTTGCTTGTCAGGTGGCAGGAAAAACTGTTGAACTATTCCTTGTACTTGACGAAGTTCAATCCAAGTGCGAAGCAAAACAAAGACTTAAAAACAGGAAGAAAGAGAAGAAGTCTGCAAAAATGGAAGTTGAAGAAACTGAAAATGTGGAAGCAAATCATGAAACAAAAGGAGCTGGGAATACATTGGTTGTTAAAGTTCCTGATGTTTTTAAGCTTCTTCCAACTATTCTAGTCAGCAAAAAGATATGTTCCATCTCTTTTTGTCCAGTCACACCAGAGAGTTCACTAGCTAGTTTAGCATTGTCTTTGAATAATAACTTGCTGGAGTTCTATTCAATTAAAAGCGATGGAAGTGAAAAAACACTTTCTATTAATCTTGAAAGAACACTTTCTATTGAGCTTGAGAGAACACTTTCTATTGAGCTTGAAGGACACCGTTCCGATGTTAGAAGTGTCACACTTAGTTCAGACAATAGTTTTTTGATGTCAACCAGTCACAATGCTGTGAAGATTTGGAATCCAAGTACTGGTTCTTGCCTTAAAACAATTGATTCTGGCTATGGACTCTGTGGTCTAATTGTACCCATAACAAATATGGAATTGTTGGCACTAAAGATGGGGAAATTGAAATTATTGACATTGATAATGGTACTTGCAGTGAAGTTGTTGGAGCTCATGGTGGCTCTGTGCGGTCAATTGCTACCATTCCAAATGGAAATGGCTTTGTTACTGGCAGTGCAGACCATGATGTAAAGTTCTGGGAATACATCAACCAAAAACCTGGTCAAGTGTGTTCCTCATACCTTCATCACCTTCTTCAACATTTTTCAGTATCTAACTCCATTTATTCATATATTTTCCCTAACTCTCATCTTGTTTAGCTTTGCCTTGATACAATGGAATGTATAACACATCCTTTATTACAAATCTAGTCATCATGCTGAGTTAACAGATGAGTGATGCTAGGTTGGTCTTGTTGATTTTCAGGATTCCAAAAGCCTTACAATATTAAATGTGAGGACTATGAAAATGAATGATGATGTTTTAGTGGTTGCCGTTAGCCCAGATGCTAAATATGTTGCTGTTGCATTGTTGGATTGCACTGTAAAGGTAAGGAATGTTCGACTTATCCTTCTCTCTTTTGAATTTACTTTGTCCACTGTTGGTTGGTTTGATGAATTTATTTTGTCATGGTTTGATGAATTTATTTTGTTATTGTTTTCCTAGAATTTGTAAATGGAAGCATCATGCAGTTTCCTGCTCAACTTGTAAAACACGAAGTTGATTTATATAGTTGCCCTTTCCTACCATCTCAGTTTTTGTCTATGGCTTCAGCCCTCTGTATAAAACCTTCTATAGCTCATGATTTAAATGTGAGAATTAGATGTGACCTTGCATCTATATGTATGCCACCACACTAATCATGTCTTGCAAAGATTGGTTTATATGTGCTAATTAAATCTGTTGATTTCAAAAATGTTTGTTTTCAGATTCTTTCTCTCTAAACATGTTCTGGTATAAGTTTCCGATGGAAAAAATAAAGTTTAATCAACTGAATAACTCCCCAATTTGACTTAATAATAGCATGTAGGATATTGTATTGTCAATCAGGATGTGCGAGTCAACTTGTTTTGCACTACTATGGGGGCTATAATGATAATAATGATTTTCAGTTCCCTTTTTATGCAGATCCTTTTTATGGATTCATTCAAAATTTTCCTTTCCTTATACGGACACAAACTTCCTGTCCTATGTATGGATATTTCATCAGATGGAGATTTAATTGTAACTGGGTCTGCAGATAAGAATTTGAGGATTTGGGGCTTGGATTTTGGCGATTGCCACAAATCCATCTTTGCACATGCTGACAGGTTTTGTACGATTTTAATTATTATGGAATGCAAAAGTTCTCTTGATCCTAAATTGTTTATGTAGTTTTGGTGAACCTTTTGATCACTAATTCTGATGAGGTAATTTTTCAGTGTTATGGATGTTCAATTTGTCCACAACACACATTACATGTTCAGTGCTGGGAAAGATCGTCTTTTGAAGATTGTCTTTTGAAGTACTGGGATGCTGATAAGTTTGAGTTGCTTTTAACGCTTGAGGGACATCATGCTGCTGTTTGGTGCCTTGCAGTCAGCAACCGTGGTGACTTTGTTGTTACAGGATCTCATGACCGGTCTATTCGCCGTTGGGATCGTACTGAGGAGCCATTTTTTATTGAGGTATTTTCGAATTTTTGCCGTGTACCAGAAGTGAATTTCTTGGCTCAGGAATGAGAATGCCATTGTTAAGCTAGTTCTTCTCACTGCATTTGTGATTACTTTTAGGGATGGATTTTCTTCTTTTTGTATTTAACCCTGCTTGAGTGTGCAGGAAGAAAAAGAGAAAAGATTGGAAGAAATCTTCGAGGCTTACATGGACGATACATTTGAAGACAGAAATGCACCGAAGGAAGAACTTCCAGAAGAGGGAGCTGTTGCATTAGCAGGGAAGAGAACTCTGGAAACCCTGACAGCCACTGATTCAATTATTGATGCACTAGAAGTGGCAGAAGTGGAGTTAAAACGAATAGCTGAACATGAGGTATTCTTCTCTTTCTTTGGTCCGTTTCTTCTATACTGACGTGTTGTTGTCTTTAACTGGCTTGTTTAAATTTGAGGAAAAACTGGAATAACCATAAATATCCAGACTAGGATATGTTCTGGACTGAGACCCCACACATGGTATTTACGCATGCTGGGACTCGTACCTGAAACATTAAGGTTTCTAGGGCCTTAACCTTTCCATTGACGACAAAGTTGTATTTTGATCATCAATGGTTGACACTTTTAAATAATTTTTTCTTCCCCTAAGGAAGAAGGGGAAAAGGAAAAGAAAGCTGTTAACTATATTTGGGGTGGTGTGGTTGCTCGTTACTTTCCCTATCCACTATATTGAGTGTCAGCACAACGGTTACTTTTTTTACTTGTAGAAAGATACAACTGCCAAGATGATAAATCTGTCTTGCAGAGATGATTTTCATTTTGCTCAGAAATGCTTGTTGGAATAATTTGGAAAATTTGTACAGCAGCTGAAAATGCTAGAAGAAAACTGAAAGAGCCAAAATTTTTCAATGGTTGTGTTGCAGTTAATTTGTTCACTATGTTATATTTCAGGAGGAGCAGGCCAGAGGAAAAGTTGCTGAATTCCAACCGAATCTGATTATGCTTGGGTTATCCCCATCGGGTTATGTCCTTCGTGCTCTCTCAAATATTAGCACCAATGATCTGGAGCAGACTTTACTGTTAATTGAGCATTATGCATGGGATCTGCTCTAGTTCTAGTCCAACATTCTGGAAAAGATGATATGTTATTTCATCCATGTTTTCAAGTGCATGCATGGAGACAGTTACACACCTGCAATCAGGCCTATGAGGATTAAGCTCATAATTGAAACATCTGGATAATCAGGCCTAATAATGGGACCAAAGACCCTCATCAACTGAAATTCTAGTCACTTTAAAGAGAGTTTATTTTCATATTTCAGCCATGTTAATAGCCAAGTTAAATTCATATATGGAGGCTGAACTATCTATGTCTAGTAGTTAAATTGAACTTGTCCATGCTGTACAATACAGATAGGATCTTCTCATCTTTCCCGCATCTTATTATTTATCTCAATATCTGAGTCGAAGTTGTTTTATGGCTAGGCATTACCATTCTCAGATGCCCTCAAGCTGCTCTCTTATACGAAGGACTGGACTCCAAATCATGACAAAGTTGGCCTCTATGCTCTTATGGATGTGCTTATGTTTGGATGTTTTGGTAAATGCTCTCTGTGACGCGTTTGATGTTAGGAAAGCATACGTCTTATGCGTCTGAGCACTAGACTTGTAATACTTGTTATTAGAATTTATGCTGTTTGTGCAGGTTGAACTGGTTTGCAGGATTGTTACGATTTTGTTGCAGACACACCATAGTCTGTTAATTAGTACCCCATCTGCCAGACCAGTGTTGTCTGTTCTGAAAGAGATTATTTATGCAAGAGTTAAGGTAAATTTGTACTTCGGATTATGATTGTTTAAAACCCGCGCATTCACTTGGAGCAAAAACATTCAGTTCTGCAACTAGTAGCCTTAATGATCTCTCTTTCATTTCTACTGTTGAATTTAAGTTCAAAATGGTCACATAATCCATAAATTTTTGATTTGGGAAAACTTAAGGATCTATTTCAATGGCATAAACTTTGAATTTCTCAGGAATGCCATGATACTCTTGGTTTCAACCTCGCAGCAATGGATCATCTAAAGGTTTGTAAATTGGCTTTTCCAATATTTTCAATTCAATTTCTAATACAATAGCAGAAACTTAATTTTATCCCCAACTGTTGCATGTTATTCGATTTCAGCAATTGATGGCTTCAAGATCGGACGCTCTATTTCGAGATGCAAAGTCGAAGTTGGTAGAGATACGTTCCCAGCAGTTGAAGCGTTTTGAAGCAAGAACGGAGACCAAAACAGAAAAACGAAAAAAGAAGAAACATAAGAAATAGAGTGATGATCTCCAAGATGGGAAAACTTTCATTATTTATTTTCATGACCAGTTTGGCTATACCCATGGATCAGAAAGAATACTGAAATGGGGTTTTATAATTAATTATTATTATTATTATTATTATTATTATTAATGTCTATATTACAATTATGCTAGCCCGAGGAAGAAATACAAGTTGGGTACAAATGCATTCAGCTCAAGAGCAACAAAATAGAAAAAAGAAGATAATAAAAATATAAATATATTATGATTTTAAATAATATTAATACACTACTATTAATAAAAGATGTTTAAATTTTAAAAAGTTGTCTTAACTTTTCAAAAGGGAACATTATTGGATCCAAGATTCTCCTTGTACCCTTGATCGCTAACCACTAGGGCTGTAAATGAGATGAGAGAGATCGCGAGCTACTCGAGATCGACTCGATCAAGGTTTGATAAATACTTGGATTGAATGGACTCGACTCGATCTCGAGCTCGACTCAAGTTCTTAACGAGCCGAAATGAGTTACTTGATATTCAACTCGAAAAGCTCGTGAGCAGCTCGAAAATATAATATATTAAGATTTTATTTTTTAAAAAATAAATTATTAATAATATTAATACTTATGTACTGATTTTTTTTATAAAAAAATACATTAAGATTTTCATGTATTTAAGGTACATGTTCGAGTTTGAAGCTTAAATCGAGTTAAGTTTAAGATTTTTTTTTCATTTCGAGCCCTTTCGAGCTGCTCACGAGCTTCAGTTCAGGATTTTGAGTTCGAGTCGAGCTTGAAAATTTTAAGCTCGCGAGTTTTTGAGTCGAGCTCCATTTCAGAGTTTTCGAGTCGAGTCGAGCTCAGCAATACTCGAGCTCGACTCGGCTCGTTTACACCCGTACTAACCACGAACGTGCTATTTAATATAAGCTAACGCTAGCCAAACGAGTCTCCTTTAGCCTCAAGCATCATAATCTTGCATATCATTAGGTGTTGTATATAGCTCACACTCATATAGCAAGAAAAAGATATTAAAGACAAAGATATTAAAGACAAAATTTGGGTCGTAAAGTTCAAACACTTATCCAAACACACAAACAGAGGTTATGATGTAGTGTCGGGTCACACAGCATCGCAAGATTCATACGCCACTAGTCTACTAACATAGGTACTTTGTATGAGACCTGGATCGCTATCGTGACAGGAACATACATCTCGTAGTCGCACATGACCATCACCTCTACTCTTAGAAAATTTGAGTAACCCATTACACGCGACTAACGATCAACAAACAAGCAACTCAACATCCTCAACGTTTTTCTTAGGGACATACACCTCAAAATCCAAACTTAGGATTACTCAAGCTCTACCGAGCTGGTCATATGAACCATGCAACCTTGATGCGAACACACTCTCATATAATCTTAATCATTTCCTTGAAGAGCCACTTCGATACTCTCTCATGGAACACTCTCGGGTGGACAGATCTACTATCAAATGTCTCCTTAGAGTTGACTCTCAATTCAACAAGAAACAATTGACGGTTCTCACATGAGTACATTAATCTAAAAGGCACTTGGACCCTCACATCAGGATCTTCTACGTGAATACTCTTCCTACTTAGTTCACTTTGACACCACGAAGGAATGAACGAATTCACGTCTACTAGTGCAACATTATCAACTGAAATTGCTAAAAACATACTGATATCTCAACTACGACATCCTCTATATACCTCATGATGATCTGACAAGCTAGGATATATGCAGCTAAGCTAGGAACAAGTCGATCTGTTCCACTGCTCTCTTTCTCGATCATAGCATTGAAACCTTTATGTGCAGACCCTCCATCATGTTGGGCTCCGAGGTCGATTTATAACATCGTTATCCGAGGTAGGGCAATCTCTCACAAGATGCTCAAAGGACCCATATCAGAAACACGTCCTAGAGAGTCCAAAGCATCTCCCTTGATGCCTCTTATCACAATTCTCACACTCTGGATATGTTTACGCTATGTCAAAACCCCTCGTGGTCTCCATAGGCTGTGACGCTAGCGATCTCCTACATAACCCTACTTTAGACCTTTGACTCGATTGGTGCGACTGAACTGGTGTTACCCTCCTTTTCTCACGAGAATCCACAACCCTATAGGCCACTCAGCTGAGATAGATCTACCGATACCAAAATCCTTCTACTCAACGTATTGATACCATCTATCAAACTAATCCTGATGTTTGTACCCTTTCCACGACCTTAACATATCGTGTCAACTCTGGGAATACTTTGGGCGGGTTTATCGCCACTGCACATTAATACCTATATGTAGGGGTGTTCATTCGGTTAAAACCGAACTGAAATACCCTTAACTGAATTAACCGATTTTTTTATTTAACCGTTAACCGAACCAAACTTTTTTATGAAAGTATTAACCGAACCGTATAAATTTCGATTAATTTTCAAATTAACCGAAATTTTTTATTATTTTTGAATTTAATATTTTTTAATTAAAAAACAATTTATAATATTAAACATGCAAAATACTTCATACGCCATCTTCAAACCCCATTATTCTATGCAAAAAAGCATGTTAAAAACTCAAGGTTGAATTTTGTCTCACCATTAGCTTTATATACATATAAAAATTTTACTTTAAAAAGTAATTTCAACATTTTTATCAACAAAGCGTGCATGACATGCACCATAAACTAAAAAGTTGCAGCAAAAAGACATAGAAGAACCCACCTGCCAGGCTGCCATCGAAGTTGATAAAAGCAAAGCTGAAACCAAGAACAAAAGAAATGATAATAATTTACATTAGCAGTGATGCCTCACCCATGCTATACCTACGTGTGAAACAATATTTAAGGGAAAGAAAATATTTAAGTGGGGACAACATGGTGAAAAAATATTAAAAAATATTTAAGGGCTAATTCGGTTAATTAACCGATTTTGAACCGAATTAACCGTTAACCGAATATCTAAAAAAACATTAACCGTTAACCGACCGAACTAATTCGGTGGCTGACCGAATTAACCGAACTAATTCAGTTCGGTCGGTTAATCGAATTAATTCGAAAATTTGAACACCCCTACTTATACGAAGCCTCTCAAGAGACCTCTTGCAACTCAATGACTCAGTTGTAACCAACTCTGAAGCATATCAAGTCAACCAAAAGAAATCTCTCTTGTAATCGTACATCGTACAATCTCCTTAACCCATTGGGAGTACTGCATCCTCAAGACATTTATGTATGCCTCGATATACTTTTCCTTGGACTGACTTAGAGACTGATCCCACATAGGCATCTCGGGCTGTAGAGTCATTTTTATAGTCTCCTGCTATTAGATTGAGCAAAGTAGTGGCACATCCTAGCTTACCCTTGGGGGTAAGGTGAAGTTGCCTTTGAGTCATAGTTTCTCTTCACTACTGATCAATCGAAATCGGGTTATCATCACCTTAGTCTTATACCTCCTTAGTCTCTCTATCAAAGACTTTAATAGTGTTGTCACACTCAGAGCGTTTGGTTAAGTAGTCTGTGTTGTACAAAAAACATTCACTACCCCTCTAAGCATGAAAATCAAACCTCTAAAGAATGTCGTCTCAACGACTCTCACAAACATCGGAACCTTGCGATTCTCTACCCTAGGTAGAAAATTATCGTAAAATTACCAAGATGAGAGACACAACTCTCAATCCTACCATTGAGACTACACTTGGAACTCAAAACCATCACCACTTTCGTAAAAAGAGATAACATAGAGGAAGCACCATCACAATTTCATTCTTATAAGAGTACTTTTAGAACCTAGGGGCATGTATTCACTAACGTCTTACCAAAACCAACCATTGATTTTATAAAATTTATTTTAACGGTTATAGGGAGTTACTAAAATTAAATGATGAATTTGGTAATATTTAGATGTTTGCTCTTGAAATAATCGGTATGTAGAGACGTGCAACCATCTATTCTCACATGGGGTAATATTATTTAGTCTCAAGAATCTAAGGTGAAAATAATTATGGTTTGTCGAACTAAATATTTATTTTTAGAAATTTATAAAGACAACGGGTCCGTTGCAATTTTGGAGAAGTAAAAAATCGGTTATGCTGACATGAAAAAATTCTCCAAATCAAATAGTTGTCAAATCCTAAAGATAAGGATTCTATTACTGTCAGTATTTTTTTATGAAATTTATTACTGTTAATAAATTTCAATGACTAATATTATTGAATTTATTCTGATTTGAAGATTGGTAGATTCTGAGATCATCATAATTAAGATATTATGATGCAAAGAGTGAAGAGTAAAGTTACAAGCATGGTGAGAATGAGCAAGTCTACTTTGATATTATGGTTTTACCTATGAATTCAGATTATTTAGACTTGTTGTCTATTAATTTATTCTTTTTTAAAAATACATGAATTAGATTGTATGAGCTTTTAAGCTAGTCTTTAAAACTTAGTGGATAAATTATAAAATGAGATAAACCACTAGTAAAGACTAAGGTAGTGAAAGATTACTAAGGCTAACACAGTACTGAACCCAAAATGTATATGCTTAATAATATATCATTATAAGTAAAAGTATCAAGCATAATTCTTTAAGAGGCATTAAAGAAAGAGAAAATTCATAAATGATTTATATGAAAACATTATGAAAATGCATGTCTATGATTGGTTCTGTGAAAGACCTGATATTTAAGTGTGCCTAGTACACCACTTCTCTTTCATGTTAACATACATGATGCATTGTTCTTTAATGTGCTCACTTTTATAAAAATACTATGACGAGTCAAAGTCTCTTTAAACTTATTTTAGAAGTTAAAATAGTAGAAATTAATGTGATTAGTAAAATACCAAATTTATTCATAATAAATAAAATATGTGATGAAATATGTTGAATGATATGAATGAGAATATGATAGACATTAGTGCTACTAAAAGATTGGTTAAATCTCTTTGAGTTTATTTCTCAAGTAGAGAAAAGAAAAGAGATGGTTTATCTTAGGAGTTGTGT